GAATTTTAGTAGGTATTATAGATTTAAATGGGGACTCTAAATTTCAGCATCAGCCAATTTCAGCATCATCCCCGACAGTAATTATAATCTCTTGTAAGTTATAATAATTTAAAAATCATCAACTGGCATATGAACCATTATATTGCTTTGAAATTAAGCATTATTTTGTATAGCTAACTTTTGATTCCTTATACTCAACTTTTCCCATATTATTCCCGGTTTCATAATATTTAACGTTGGCTATTTCATTAGTATTTTTCATATCAAGAAATCTTGAGGATTTATAAAAGCTTTATAATTGTTGTGTTGGTTACCAGTTCCACTTTGATAACAATCACTAACTTCATATGCTATAGCATAACCCAACTTTGCCCTTTGTTGATAATTGATAGATGCCTTATTTTCAACCTTCTCAATTTCAATCTCATTTTGATGGCCTTTGCTTATAATTTTATAATCAGTATTATATACTTTACTTATATGATCTAGAGCTGACCCCAAACTTTTGTATTTTTTAGTAGGATGTCTATTTCGCTATATAAAGTTTTATTTTAATCTACTACATTTATAGTAACTAATAAACAATTCAGCACTTGTACTTAAAGACTCTTGTAGCGATATAAATAATTCAGACAGATCTATGTTAAAGATTGATCACGATTTGTATAGTTATTGTCTAGTTCAATTTATTTACAAACCATTGTAGATATATAAGCAATTTGAACAAGATCATGTTAGTTTTGTATTGAAGTGTCATAAAAAGTTCTGCTATTATACTTACCGGTGATTACATTATGATTAAGTAATTTAGACAGAGATATGCAGTTATTGCAAAAAAAAAAAATAAAATAAAAGTAAATAAATAAAAATAAAAAATTATTTATTTACCTGATATTTTTTTTCTAAAAACAGTACATGCCCCAAACTTTATGATAAATATACGGTTGACAAGCCCAATGCATTATAAGAATCGCTAAATTTAAACATTAAGCTCGGGTCTTCTACTATTAAGATTCAAATTAAAAAGTTAAAAGCAAAAGTTTATCTAAATCTAGCATAGTAAAATAGCTTTGGACGAAAACGTTTCCAGTTACCTTTTACTTTGTCTTCTAAGTAAAGTTCTCAGTGTTACTGATTATTTTGATTATTTCCAAATATTTTTGTATAGTAAATATAAATGTTCTTTATTAGTGAAACGTTATGTTTCTAAAGATACATATTCCCTGTTGAAACGGTGTGATATTTGGGGTAGAGTTAATAGAAAAGGGACAAATCATTTTTAGTACAATTTTTTTAATTTTTAAATTAAAATATCTCAACAACTAATTAATTATTTTAATTTTGGAATTATATAGAATCAAAATAAAAAAAATTATAAAATTTAATAAGATAATTGCTAAGATATTTAATCTTAAAGTCAAGAAAACTTTTACTTAGAAAAAATTTGTCCCTTTTCTATTGACTTCACCCCATTTATTATCCATCACATATTTGGGACATTTCGGGTTCTGAAACCCGAAATCGACCCCGAAACCCTAAAATAGACCCCGAAACCCAAAATTGGCCCGAAACCTGAAATCGACCCCGAAACCTGAAATTGACACCGAAATCGTTTGATTGGCTAATTTTTATAGATCTACTTAGTATCTATCTATGATTACTGGATTACCTGTGATGAGTAACCAATCAAATTACATAATTTTAAAAATTCATCGCTTATATTATATATTATAATTTATACAGTTAAATAATAAAAATTAAACTAATTATGACTAATATTGATAGATCGGTCTTCGAGTTTAATAATTTTGGGTCATAACAGTCAGCCCAGGTTCAAATTACGGTCCTAACTGATAAAATCAGTATAATTTATTTATCTTTTTCTATCAATGAATATTAATGAAAATTTTATTTTGCAATATTTTTAAAACATTAAAATATACAGAAATATTGATATATGTGATTCTTTAATTAATAAAGATGTTAATGTTCTATTGTTACTTTTAACAGATTAGACTTGCAATTTTAAATTATGTAATATATTCGTCTGTTAAACTTTTTTTTTAAGGTTTATCGATTTCGTTCATTTATTTTAAACTCCTGAAATTGAACAGACAATGTGTCGAATTATAGGGCGATCAAATCTGTATAGTAAGAATAACAATCCTCTGTAATCTTGGCATAGTGATTAGGGTATAGTTTTTTAAACATGGTTACCAATTTTTTACAAGAGGATCTCTAAAGTTCCGGGTAGGAATAACCGGAATGCATCGTAGTTAGGATCGGGTTAGGGTTATGGCTAGCTATGCTGGTTAGTAGGAGCTATAGTAAAATTATTAGCTGAGTATTTTTTACTTAATAAACGACTATTTCATTAAAATTCTTGAGCGAAGCAAAATCGATCAATTCCTGCATATCCAACTAGTGTTTTGATGCATTCCGACCCAGAATTTTTGAAATTTCCCTGTATATGTTCTCTTTATCATACTATTTTGGTTTTCCATATTATTATACACATCTTTTATATTTAGAGTTCAATATAGCTTAGCACAGATTTCAAAAATCCTATTGTAAAATATTTCACAAGAAACAATCTAAAAAAAAAGTTAAATCATAATTTAAGTATAGTATAGTATGTTATATTAAATAAAAATTAAAAAAAATTAAATAAATAATAAAATTGTTATTTCCGAACCTTCAATTTTATTATTTATTTTCATTAGATTTAGCCTTTAAAACCTGATTGTACAATAGTAACATCTATGATCAGTTTTGCAATAAAACAGAGGTTTGGAGAAAATAAACAAGTTGACAGGTAGTGAAATCACATTGATCGCTGACTTTATTACTGAAAGCTAGCTAGAAGAAGCAAAGGTATGGTGAAAAACTTTTGAAGGCAAAGTGGTCACCGAAGAAAATATGCGAATCAAGAAAGAAATTAGAGTGTGTGTTGAAAGAAGAGCACAAATGATCATTAAGGAGCAAAAATAAATGCTAACAAGCCTGCTAGAAAAATCAACTTCCAAAGTAACAATTGACAAAGTTTATACCGAGGAGGCAGAGAATGCTTGGCTAGAAACGAAACTTAAAGAGGTGCTTAGGATTACCAAAGAGCACTTCCAAAATTAGTTTCGTAAAAGAAATACAAACATGGCCTTGCTAAATGGAGATTGGCACCAAGAATATAGTCCTATTGCATGGGTA